TACACAGAGCTATTAGGTAGAGTAGGTGTCTCTCGTCTTCCAGGTTGGGGTCCGAAAGACCCCACAACTGGTTGATTGGAGACATTGAAGGATATGGCAGCAGTGGCGTTCTTGTTATCGTTTCTTATCAGGTTAGAATGCTTGAAACGGTATGTATGCATAGTTCGGTTACGTAGTCTGTGTGTTGATCTTAGCGGCTCATCTTCTCCCTCCCTCAAATTAGATCTAATCCCTGTCCACCTACAACTTTACCACTAACCTTGTATGCATTGCGAGTTTGGCAGCGATCAGCGAAGTTCGCTTCACTGTATTTCGCTGTACGATGATGATGGTGAGTAGGTCAATGGTCGGAATAGTAGGCGGAGATAACAAGATATCTACTATGTATGCATCCGAAGATTTTGGGTGAATAACAGACTGATTATCTCTGAAGGCCAAAGCTGAGCAAGCTCTACTCGTTGTGGGCTGGTTTGTGCAGTGCCACGTAAGGGGTTTCGGCGTTTAACCTTTTGGTGACCTGGTGGATAGTATCCATCACTATTCGGCTCCTCTTATAGCGTTATTCGAGTATGATCGTTCCCGAATCCTTTTTCTTAGTTAGAACCGAGTATTCTGATTGAGGATGAAATCTGAAAATCGGTCAATAAAGATTGATAATGCTTCTTCCACAGCACTACTAGCAGGTAAAGTCAGTTTATAAATATTTGCAATAATGATATGGCTATCACCGTCCGCTTGTGTTCGTGTGAATAGGATGTAAAACTCTGGAGTTATCTGTTGAGGTGGCGAGTCTGTTTGGGCTTCTATCATATGTTCGGTTTGGTTCATGCTGCTCACGCAGCATGCGGGGAACGCAAGAATCAGCGGTCAATTACACGCGAGTGCGCGCACATCTCTGGTTATGGTCAGTGCAAACACAGGTTTGTAAACCGTATATATGTGTTTGGTACAGACATGAAGACCTGATAATCGAACAAACAAATCGACGGGTGGAGCTGTCGAATCCTGAAAAGAATTTCTCTTGTTGGAACCAAGGTTGTCGAACAAGAACACATTGTTTCAAATAGTATCGAAATGAATGCAAGTGTGACTTCTAATCCACATTGTGACCTCTCGCGTCTTGCGGTTGTTTGTTCCATTTTGTTTAATGTACCCACCTATTCTATAATTTTCCAACAATTTTTTTTGTTCTCACGTTTTAAATGACGACACTGATATGATTATATGTTTTCCTGTTTGGCAAAATGTTTCTTTGTTTTTCAAACGGCAACCGTAATAGCATGACTCACCTAAGGGGATACGGGTATTCTGTCCTATCATGTACGAAGGCACTTATTAATAGGCACCACGAAGAAAAGTGACCAGTGAGGGACAGGTAGTTTAGGCCTGTGTACATCATGCCATCGTCGTCATAATTTTCGGTCGCTCGATCGATGACTATCATCCTCTGGACAAATAACATCGTAATCAGTTTTTACCGGTGAATTTACTTTTTAAGTCTTCGTTCATGTCATTCTTATCACGAATTAAATACAGGTTTATGCGGAAATACTACTATCCAAGCAGTAAAGTATATATATATATATATGTGTCACGGGAAAATGAAAAATTCAGTTCAATAAGGTTATTCGACAGAGTCCTCGGCCACCGACTGCACTTTGTTCGTCATTCCTTTGTGTTTATTTTTTTAGTGGGAGAGGATTCATTTCATTCGACTCAATGTATATGAAATCAGCCCTATTTTAACTTGCATAAGTTCCTATGTTTATTCTGCTTATTTTCCATCACAGCGCTACGACTGGACGAAAAAGAATGATTTCTTCATGCGAGGTTCTGCGAATTCGTTTCAAATCGGTGGTCAAAGGTATTCATCATTTTTTCCTGTCCTATAGCAAACCTCTCAAAAAATCGTATTGCACCCCTCCCTCAGTTTTTAGTCGACTGGCGGTCCCGTGTGTACGATCACATCAAATTTTGTGAATCTCCTTATATACCGAACGCGAAGCTGGAATATGAATGTTTATGATACTATTATTCATTATTATTATTGTTATTCAGTATATTGTCATAAATCATCCGTCTCTCTGTGGCACTAATGTTTCACTCCTTAAACTTGACACGCCTGGATCAGGTCAGAGACGGGTGCGCTGGTCCTCACACCGGGACCTGACAACCCTGGTGAGTTAACGACCGACACCTTGGTTTAGGCTATGCACAAGCAACACCGTGATAACCTCGAATGGATGGCTGCTAAGATTTGCAGAGGCCATAGCAATCAAACACCGAAAGCCCTTACTAGGTCAGCAAAAGGAGGTCTACATCATTCTGACATTGTCCTGTTAATCACGTAAGCAGATGAGTGAATTGACACCGTGTTAGATTATCAACACTTGCGATATATAAACTAGTTTTTATTCGGCATAAGCCGCAGCTGAGATGCAACGAAATGATTCCGGAATTACATCGTGCTCGATTGTTATGTTGCTCTCTTTGTTCAAGTCCATTTTGGGAAATAATCGATTTAATTTTCTCAAAATGAAGTTTATTGACTCTCATGCAGAAAGTTCGACCCTATTTCGGCTTAAGCAGATCATTTTGATTGGGAAAAGTGCTTGGCCGTCGAACAAGAAGAGATTATTGAGTCAGCAACAGGTACCGGTCAAAGTTAGAATTATGATACATTACTAACGCGTGTATTTGTACTAGAATCTTGTGTGAGATTAATACTGGAACTAAATAACATTAAATAATCGAAACGCAAATCAGAATCACTAAAGCAAGAAACAATTAACAGTGGTTTGATTTTCAAAATTCAGTTGCTTCGTTTAACATTTGGAATGCGATAAGTGACAATAATATCCCAGAAACTTTTAAGAAGATAGATGGGTGCTGACATGTTTCGTTCTGTTTTCATTGACCCTTCAGAAGAGCTGATAGTCCCTGCGGAGTGAACAAATAGGCTAGTTCCGGCACTGCGCTCTGAACGGCGATTATTTTGTATGTGTGGCGGCGGTCATCATGGCATCTACCCAGTGGTTGAACTTGAATCCCGTTGCCGCCGCTTATAGCCCCTATTATATTTCCCCAGACAGTCTTTAATCGGCCGCAGCCCCCTCCGGGGAAATTGGCTGAACAATGGTGTAGATAACAAATAAAACGGAAGTGGAAATATGACTATTATTATCAAGATAACAGTACGTCGAAATAGTTTCAGTTCATCCACGACACCAAACGTAAAACGGCAATAATTGCAATCCAGGCTCGAATAGATAGAACGAAATAGAATAATGATTTTGAAGAAGGGTAAGTCCTCAAACTCCGTTTAGCATACATCGCAGATATTACTTCACTGAAAATTCTCAATGTGAATACCTTCGGATCGGTCTAACTATTCGGCATACAAATGCTTCCTTGAATCTCGATGATTACGTCGGAGGACGTTATAGTAGCAACCAAACGGGCTCGACTAACGGGGTAATCCACAACGTCTTGGATTGATAACTCAGTGGCAAGGTAACTTGGAAGTTAAACAAACCGAGAGACAAAGGGGTATGTACTGAAAACAATCAAGCTTTTCCTCATTACTGAGAATCCCTACCTTAATTTCCTTATTCAATGGACCATCTGAAACATATATCTAACGTAAAAACACTGTTTTCCCGTCACAAATTTGAACAGAGAAGTCAGAAACATGGGTTTGCACAATGTATCCATGGTCATTTCGCTGCATCTGTACACGTGCATACTGCAGTCCAAATGATTTTTATAGTCAGTGAGATAACAGATTTGAGAGAAAAAAACAAGATCGCTTATCACAACGGACAACGCAACGCAAAAACACAAAAAACAAAACAAAAAGGGGAAATGAGATAGGGCAGGGGGTCAATCACCAAGGCAAAGCTAATGTGACTAACCATTCGCGTTGTTTGCATAGATCAGGTTTGAGAGTGTGAATGGCTAGGGCCTCGGCAAATTTTAGTAATTTTGTGTTTGCTGTGTTGTAGATGACATGGAATGCGTGGGGTGGGGTGACACAGTGTTTTTGTTCGAGTAAATGTTGCGTTATCGAAGATCTAAGCTTTCTCCGATCAATCGATGACGTAACATTTGCAAAATTGTCGTCCATTGCTTTCTTAAGGCACGCCGGGATGTGTTCGGCCATTCGGTGACGTAACTGCCTCTCTGTCCTGCCTATGTAGACGGCTGAGCATCCACACTTAAATTGGTAAATACAATTAGATTTGACGGAGGGAGGCAATGGTTCTTTCACCGACTTCTACTCNGCACGTCAAACGTTAAGTTTTTGTTCCTCGGACAAGGATATAGACAAATAGATGGGGTCGCCATGGGCAGTACACTGGGACCGATTATTGCAGACATTTTTCTTGGTCACCTAGAGGAAAGGCTTGAGGAAAATATTTCAAAACTAGATCTATACTGTCGCTGTGTTGATGATATCTTCGTTATAAGCAACGTCAAGGAAGACAGAGAGAACTTATTCCATCGGCTCAACACAATTCGCCCCAACATCCAGCTTAGTCGTCATGACGAACGGAATGATCGCATCGACTTTTTAGACATTAATATTACGCGTCGTCCAGATGGATCAATTAAAAGATCTATCTTTCGAAAGAACACGTGGTCTGGGCAATACTTGCCCCTATGAGATACAAAATTGGGCTCGTTCGCACACTATTTCATTCTGACGGTCATCCTAAGTTTTCCGCACCCATTCGCGAAGAATTTGTGTGAATCTGTGCACTACCGATACCATAGGTGGCTCTTTTTTACTAAACTATTTGTTATTAAATTTACACGATCGCCTCATTCCCTGTGCTTCAACATATCCTTCGCATTTTTGCACAACGGTCAATCTGCGTTTGATTGTTCACATTCCCCTTCGATGAAATGAAGTACACCATAGTGTGTGCCATAATATAACGAAATTAGAAAGACTTTTGTTGCGTTCCTGATGATGAAATAGTTATCTCCAGTCGATATTTCTAAATGCATCATTTTTTTTCTTTTTTCCTATAGCGGTCGAAATGCAATCTGGTTTGATGAGGCGTTAAAATATGGTCGTAGTGAGCCAACCGACACTTTCGACAATCCCGTACTTAGTGCCACTTTGCCGGCGTTCCGACTGGCCTCATTGTCGTCAACACAAAGCGAAATTCTCGTCGATGAGAAAGAGTCGGAATCCAGACCGCGCTCGAAAACTGATCCTGGATCACCAACTGTCCCCGGGGTGAACAGTGTTCCTTTCCTTATTGATTGCTTAGAAGTTTGGGAGTTAGTCAGTTGATCCAAACTCTACTTCCCCCTTGTCGTGCTACGTACCATGAATTAGCACACATTCAACATCTGTTTTGCTGAGTACACTGCGAAGCCCTTGTGAAATTTCGCTTGCATGCGCGCTCATTTGTGTTACTACTTTCGCGCCCGAGTTCTATCGCTATCTCGTTGTCTGGTCTTCGCGTTTATCTTTTATTTTTATTTTCAGTTATTGACCTGTTCTGCTGTTTGCTCTCACGTACTTCACTTCGCCACTCTTGCACTGGATCGTTGTATTAGATCAACTTCGCGCATACTCATTCCCACCACTTAGTCCTTCATTCGCCTCCATCCCATCGTCTTTTCTGCCTTCTACTCTTGGTGCGCACGCATATACGTGCTGTGTTAAAAGCCCAGTGTTGGCAGTACACTTCTGTTGAAATGGGAGGGAATATTTTCCCTCTCTAGAGTAGTATTGTGATCACTTTCGGCCACATGATATAACCGTAACCTATCCTACTCTTTCTCCCCAAGCACACACTTCACACCGTGATGTATGTGATACATTTTGTGTATAGTCATTCTCACCAACGATTGGAATATAAATGTACTCCGAATAATCTGATAACGGTTTAGCTGATTCCGTTCTGCTGAATTCATTCTGCCTGTCACGTGCTAATGACTGTTGTCTCATACAAACGCACTGTTTGCATGTGTATTTATGTGTAATCGAGCCCAGTTGTTGAAGCTTTTCAGGATTCCTGATAGAACACGTTAAAACTAAGGTTCAGAATACATCATTCTGTTATGGGGGTCCATGTCCATGCACGACAATTGGATTCAATGTGTTATCAGCTTCAGTAAATGCACTAATTGAACTTGAATCGGTAGAATTATAATTACACCGTTTTCTAACAGATTATTGAGGGATTAACGCATGTGGTCGTTGTCTTCCGGATTAGAAACTGTTTTAGCGTTATCCCGAGAGCAAACATCGTTCTCGTTGGCTTACTTCACACCCGACCATGAGATCTGAGTTGACTACTTTTCGTCCCGTATCGCAAACAGTCAATCCGTTTCGCATGATTGCAGTTACACTGTTCGTCAGAAAACGAACGCCCCAGTCGATCAGAACAGTTCATCGTCATCGTACAGCGAAATGCAGTGAAACGAACCTTACCGATCGCTGTCAAACACAATGTGCACAAGGTAAATAAGAGTGTGGATAGGAATTGGGTCTATTTTAAGAGACGGATAAAGAAAGCAAATCTCAGTGGTCAGCACAGTAAACAGTTTACTGGCGCACGCACACATTGCAATAATTTCAGTCCGATAAGAAGTGGCAATAAGAGCCATTCCCGCAAAAGATGACGTATTCATTTAGGTTTCTTCGACTGGTTTGTGCCACCCATTCGGACACATCGGTTGCTGTGATTGACCTCTCCGCAATCAGACTAGATAGTTAATCCNCCCGCCATATTATAATGTCGATACACTTATTTAGTTGGTGCACCTTCAGTTTTGCGCTTCTCCTCCCTATAACCCTCAGCTTATTCAACAGATCTAAAACGCTGTCGTTTAGTAAATTCACCTATTCAATAACGTGACACAATGCATATAGCTTCAAACCGATTGACTCTCTGCCAAATGAACAGTCGATTCAAAAGAGCAGAGGATAAATGGGTTCGTGCGTTCTGATCACGCTCTACCATTTGACGCGGTTCCGCCGGAATAAAGTGCAGATGAACCACAGTTTAATTTTCTTTCAGTGTTTCCCATCTGTCACATTATTGGTCACTGATAGGTTGTCATAACACATTAATTATCGGTTACGTCAAATGTTATTACAATATATCAAGTGAATTTCGCACAAATTAACGGGTTTTTCAGC